TTTTGTGATTCGGAAAACTAGCATGAATAAACCGCGGCCTTGTTCGATTAGAGCAACTCCAACACAGTGAACCAAACGGGCGCGGATTTTGTCCATTTTTTGTCTATTTGAATCGGCCGAGCGGGCATTCGTGTCCGTTTTTTCATTTAGGTCAGCTAGTGTGTCCAATGCGGGACAGACGCATTTTGGGCATGTGTAACCTGGCATTTCGCCGGATGGGCCGCCACTCTGAGCTGCTCGTCAACGCTAGCCCCAAGCTCCTGCCGCGCCCGCGTCCTGTCGATCCTGCCGCGTCCGCCGTCGTGCCCACGTCCTGTCGCGCATGTGTCCCGCCGCCGCGTCCGCCCGCTCCCACGTCCCGCCGCCGCCGCCGCGTCCTCGTCCTGCCGCTCCTGCCGCGGTTGTTGCGCCCGCGTCCTGCCGATCCGGTCGCGCCCATGTCCCGCCGCTGGCGCCACGCCCGCCCGCTCCCACGTCCTGTGTCCCGCTGCTCCCACGTCATGCCGCTCATGCCCCGCCCGCCCGCTCACGAGTCCCGCCACGGCCGCTGCGCCCGTGTCCTGCCGCTGCGCCCGCACCCGCCTCCCGTCCCGCCGCCCGCCTACGAGCAGCTCGCAGCGAACGGAGGAGGGCACGCGCCGGCCGACGCGGCGCGGAGAGGAGGAGGCTCGCGGCTCCGGCACCACCAGCGGCCTTCAACCCCCGCTCGAAGAGCATCACCGGACCAGCTCTTGCTCCCGGATACGGAGCGACGATGAGGACCCCGAGGGCGGCAAGCGGGCCGGAGCATGGGAGGCGAGCGGCGCTCGAGTGAGGGCGAAGCAGGGGTGCATCAAGCGGTGGGGGGTGGGCCAGCTAATAAAAACACGGAGAGGGACGGTGGGTGACAAGCCGGCCAACTAATAAAAATAGGCGTTGGGATTTTTCTGAAGAGGAAGGGTGATGTAGTATAGTAGCAAGTAGTATTTTCCTCGTTTAAGAACCAACGTTTATCGAACTAGTAGGAGACGCACGCAAACAAATGTAAACGGTACCTGCACACACACAAAACAAATACTTGCACCCAACACAGGAAAGAGGGTTGTCAATCCCCTTGTACTCGTTAATTGCAAGGATCAATTCTTGTAATGATAGATTGATAAATTGGAAAACAAAATAAAAAATAATAAATTGCAGCAGGGTATTTAGGGTTTTAGTAATACAAGGTGAATGGAATCAGAGCCATAGCTTTAACTAGAGGCATCTCTCTTACGAACGTAGTAACAGTGGATAAAATTACTGTTGGGCAATTGATAGAAAAGCGCATAGTTATAACGTTATAGAGGCATGATCAATATATAGGCATTATGTCCGTGACAAGTAGATCGAAACGATTCTGCATCTGCTACTACTACTCCACCCCTCGACCGCTATCCATCATGCATCTTAAGGTATTAAGTTCATAACAAACAAAGTAATGCTTGGAGCATGAAAACATAATATAGACAAAGTAAGACCAAATAATATGTTCGAACCCCGCCGTTTTACCCTTAGTAGCAACAATACAAATACGTGCCTTGCTACTCCTCCTGTCACAAAATGAAGACACCGCAATATTGAACCTACTACCATGCGCCTCCCCCACTGAAGATACATCAATCTTATTGGCCAAACTAAACGGATAGATCGGAGAGAAATACATAGCTATAAAATCACACATAATAAAGTTCAGAAAAGACTCAATTAGTTTCAATGAATAATCTGATCATAGACCCATAATTCATCGGATCCCAACAAACACACATCAAAAGGATTACATCGAATCGATCTCTGAAGAGAACATTGTATTTAAGATCAGAGAGAGCTATTGCTATGGACCCGTAGGTCCTGTGGGAACTACTCATGCATCATCATGGAGGCTGCAAGGTTGATGAAGATGGCCTCTGTGATCGATTCCTCATCCGAGATAGTACTGATGGAGGCCTCCAGATGGGTCACGGAAGAACATAGGCTTGGGGTGGCGATAAAATTGTTTCGGGTCTCGCCCTGGGGGTTTCTGGATTTTAGGGAATTTATAGCGCTGGAATTAGGTCAGACAGAGCTACGAGGGGCCACAAGCTCAGGTGGCGACCCCCTGGGGGCACGCTATGTGAGCTTGTGGCTCTCCTATACATCTTCTGGCCTCCCCCCAAAGCTTCCAGGGTCTCTCCTAGTCCAGAATAAAATCAACGTAAAGTTTCATCGTGTTTGGACTTCGTTTGGTATGGTTTTTTTGTGAACAATAAATGGGCAAAAACAAAAACTGGCACTCGACACTGAGTTAATAGATTAGTTTCCAAAAATTGATATAAAATTACATATAAAGCATACAAGATTGATAATATAATAGCATGAAACAATAAAAATTATACATACGTTGAAGACGTATCAATCAAGTTTTGTCGGATTTAACTCCGCCAGGGTGCACATCCCGCGGACCTAGCTGGACCGGCGAGTTCTTCTACCGACCACCCGGGCCAACTCGATGTACTCTTACACGGGCCCCGGGGACACGACGTGGGTCGTCGCGGAGGAGCTCACCGAAGACCAGGTGATGGCCCACATCCATGCTTTGATGGATCTGATGTTGGACAAGATCCCCTTCGGCGTTGTCGAGCCCTTCCGCATGAGGCCGCCTTTCTTTTACCTCCTGAGCATTTTTACTTCCTGACCTTGTTCTGACTTCTTCGGGATTTCACGGGAATTCGTAGGCTTCACGGCTGTCATGTCGGAGTTGTCGTAGCCTAGGCAGGTCCTAGACCCGGTGATGGCAAAGTTACTAGGGCTGGAGCCGGAGAAGGC